CAATGTAAGAGAATGTATAATAAACAAGATGATAGAACTTGTATATTGTGCATCAGAAGACAATGTGGCCGATCATTTCACAAAAGCACAGGGAAGTAGGAAACATATAGATACATGTGAACAGTATGGTTTGAGATTGTAAATATATTAGTCTACCCAAAGGGGAGAATGTTGGATGCTTATCCTACAGTTGGGTAGGTAATATATAGAAAACTATGTTCTGTAACTTTAACCCCAACACTGTACCTTCAGCCATGGTAATGTGCTCTGTCAAACTGTCAGGTTCCACAGGACAAAAACCCCAGCCAAATGATGTTTAGGTTTGAAGCTTTTAATTTCTCCGGCACTCACTGACCATCCAAGCAATAAACAATGCAAAGAATGCAAAGAATGCAAAGAAAGGATTGACAGAGCTAACATCCAGTGCTCCCCATCCACCACCACCCACCCTCTACTATGCGCCTGCCCCGTCACCCAGTGCTCCAGAAGTGCTGAGTCACTCTGAGTTGTCTCAGTTGTAAATTGTGCTCCTGAAGAATGCCTGCCACTGGAGATATTCTGAGACAGTTCTAGAGGCCCTGCAAGGGGCATGACAATGTCCAGCTGTTTGCAGCAAGATTGCCTCCCCTGGGATTGGCCCCTGATGATCCCCCTCCCCCCCGAATGACAGCTCCAAACTGAGCATGCTGGAGCTGACAGCACGATTGCTGGGCAGTGGCCTGAGCTGCACCGGCAGAGCAGCTGGTCGGCTCTCTGGCACCAGTCCCCTGCCAAAGACTGACATTTTGAGGTCCTGCAACTCAAAAATAACAAGACCCCCGATAATAAGGCCAAGGCCATATTTTTGGGGTCAAAAGAAAATAAGACCCTGTCTTATATTCAGGGAAACATGGTAGTACTGTGTTGACCTCATGGAGAAATAAATTGGAGCATGTGATAATATCCAGATACTAAAATAACTTTAGGGAGTTCATTTATTTATAAATGTTAAATCCATCCTTCCTTCCTTCCTTCCTTCCTTCCTTCCTTCCTTCCTTCCTTCCTTCCTTCCTTCCTTCCTTCCTCTAACCTCCTAAACCCGCTAAATGCACCCAGGCGTGGGCTTCAAAAATTTTAGCAAGGGATTCTCTGTCTGGTTGCTGGGTGGGTGTGGCCATGGTGGGCATGGCCTAGTCAACCTCCTGCACCATGGGTGGGGTGTGTATTTTTCCTTTCCTCAAGCCTCTGGGAGGGTAAAACAGTCTCCCTAGGTTCCCGAGCCCTCTGGAGGCCAGAAACAGGCCTGTATCTGACCTTCCCAAACGTTCAGTAGGCCTGTTTTTTGCCCTCCCCAAGCCTCCACGAGCCTCCTGCACTTACCTGCATCAAAAACAGGCCGTGTGGGGACTCCTGGGAAGAGGTGGGTGGGGTGGGAACAGGGTTGGGGTGGGATAGGCCAGCCAGGACTGGGATTTGGGGGTTCTCCAAACTGCACAGAATCTTAGCTAGAAGTTTTCCTGAACCCGTGCAAACCCCCAGCAGCCCACCCTTTCATGCACCTCCATAGTCAACTGGATTTGTAAGATGCCACTTCTGTGTATTGATTAAACCTCATAACATGGCAACCAGAGACCACCTAGCAGACTCATTTAGCTATTGAAAATAAAATGAGAGTATGAATACTGCAAAACACCACATAACAAGAGCCCAGGGAAGGATCTCTCCAAATCACCACTGACTGGAATGTACCCCAGAAAAAGTTGGCAAAGCAGCATAACACAATGTTGCCCATACTAATCCTGTGAGTTGATACGGAAGGGTAGAATGATTGCTTATTTTGAAAACCACATTGATCTAAAGAATGGTGGGGGGGGGGAGGGAGGCTGAGTTCACAGACCTAAGGAACTATCCACTTCATCAGGCTGCATGGGTTCAAATTATTTCCAGATATTGGAGCAAGATTCATCCAAAGGCATCAACACCCACATTGACTTGCAATAAGGCTTGACCCCAAATGAGAACAAATTTCAGCAATTTTGTCTGATAGATGCTAACAAATAATTTCATGTGCCCATGCAAGGATTTCTCTGGATCTCCTACACCCAGGAGTGCAGGTAGCAATCAAAACAGGGCTACAGAATGATATATTGTCAAAAGATTCATGAACTGGGATAGACATGGCAACAAGTCAGCCAATGTATAGGCATAGCAACTAAGTCAGCCAATGAGGGCTGTTTGTCAGCTGAGACTGAAAAGAGCCTGAGCATAGCTCTGTAGCTCCGAGGTCTGTGCTGAGAACTAAACTAGTCTGGTCTTGTATGTCTGCTGAGAATTGAAACTAAAACTAATCTGCTGTACTCTGCTTGTGTTGTAACTGCTACCACATTGGAAGAATCTGCTGTTGGAATTGTTCATTTATTCAGGTGTTATTATGTATATAAAGAGAAGTTAATGAATCCTACTGCATCAGTTATCTGTGTGTGCCTCCTGGATGTGATTTCTGCAACAAATTCTGACATATATGCAGATGAAATAAGAATGAAGAAGTGTTGACAGGGCGACATCTTTTCTGCCACAATATAAAACTTAATAACAGCTCTAGCTCACATTTGGTTGAGTTAGTCATTTGTGAAGTCCTGGTTATGTTCCAGACATCTCTTGTTTCACCTTCCTTAATTCTTCAGTGAAACATGGGGAACAATGAGTTCTATGAAAGAGGATAGGTTGCATGGGTGCAACTTGGTTCAAAGCCTCCCCTTTCTCACTTTCTCCTTCTCCTCCTAATTGGGAGATTCTGGACATTCTGGTCCGGATTCTGGTGTGTGTGTGTCAATTTATTTTCCAAAGCATCAGTAGGCAGGACAAGACATAATGGATGGAAACTAATCAAGAAGAGAAGCAACCTGGAATTAAGGAGAAACTTCCTAACAGTGACAACAATTAACCAGTTGAATAGCCTGCCAACAGCAGTTGTGGGTGTTTCATCACTGGAGTTTTTTAAGAAGAGCCTGGATAGTCACTTGTCTGGAATGGTGCATGATCTTCTGTTTGAGCAGGAAGCTGGACTAGAAGACTTCCAAGGTCTCTTCCAGCTCTATTTTGATTGATTAAGATATAAATATTTATGCACACTTTTGCTGAGCTTTAGCATTTACTACTTATTATTGTTTAGATAGTTGCATCTGTTAAATTAAAATTATATTGGCAAGCTGGTATTATTACGTAGATGTCAGTTTGCTACAATATTTAAATGCAATTCCTAACCCTACAAATAAATATATTTATTGAGCCATGGTGACACAGTGGTTACAGTGCAGTACTACAGGATACTTCTGCTGAGTGCTGGCTACCTGCAATTTGGCAGTTCAAATCTCACAAGGCTCAAGGTTGACTCAGCCTTCCATCTTTCCGAGATGGGTAAAATGAGGATCCAGATTGTTGGCGGTGATATGCTGACTCTATAAAACACTTGGATAGGGCTGGAAAGCACTGTGATATAAGTCTAAGTGTTATTGCTATTGGTATTTATATCATCTTTTCATTCCTCTGAGTTCACTTTTAGTTGTTAACTTATCCCCAAAGTTTTTCTGTGATCTACGTATTTCTCAACCATTTCCTCTTTTCCCTCTATTTTTGGGCTATTATTATTTTTTAAAATAGAACAAAATGAGAAAAGAAGTTCAAACTTTATCACATGTCCTCCTCCTTACTTTCCCCCTCCCTCCTTACCTTTATTTTTCTCATTAGTATGTCGCATCTCATGTTCCTATAGTCTCAGTTTTCTGTGTCAGCCTTCAATATCTCGTATGGCAGGAGTAATTCTCTATTTCTCACAAAAAGCCACATAGACTTACTTACTGGCTTACGTATTTACTTACTTATTTATTACATTTATTTGAAACCTATCTTGCTGATGGCCTACTCTAGGCAGCTTACAATAATGAAAGAGAAGGAATATGAAAATAATGTAAACAGAACAGAAGTAAAATAATAAAACCATAAAATAAACAACGACAAAAGAACACAGGGAAATAATACATCGATATGAAAACCAAAAAGAAGGATGGGTGGAGAGCAGAGACCAGCAATGGGAAGGTGGAGTCTGTCATCAATCTACCTCCTGTGTGAAACTCTCCCATTTGGTCCCAAAGCTAATTGGCAGAGTCATGTCTTAAGACTTTTGTGAAAGGACAAGAGGGTGTGGTGGATCTTATCTTACCGGATAAGAAGTTCCAAAGGGTAGGTGCTGTAGCAGAGAAGGCTCTTCTTCTGAATCCTGACAATCAGAGTTCTTTGAACAATGGGATCAAAAGCAGGCCCTCTCTGCTGGCACGAGTAGGACAGGCTTGTCCTAACAGGATGAAGCAGTTCATCAGATAGCCTGGACCTATGCCCTGAAGGACTTTAATGGTCATAACCAACACCTTGAACTGCAGTCAGAAGCACATTGGTAGGCAATGAAGTTTGTGGAACAGAGATGGATCACCCTAGAGGAGCCAAAAACTACTGCTGCTGCTGCACTATGCACCAGCTAAAGCTTTTGAGCAGACCTCAAGGGTAGCTTCATGTAGATGCAATAGTCCAGATGAGAGATAACCAGGGCTTGAGTAACAAAGTACAGGGAGTCATGATCCAGGAAAAGTCACAACTGGTGCAGAAACTGGAGTTGTGCAAAAGCTCCTGTGCTTACACCTGCCATCTGGTCTTTCGGCTGGAGTTGTGACTTCAGGAGAACCCCCAGCTTGCAAACTGGGTTTGAACAGATAATGCAGAACTAAGGATGACAAACTCTCAGATCCTGGAGCTCCCTGTACCCAAAGCTACTCAGTTTTGACACGGTTATTTAGGAAACATGCTATAAGTGTTTCATTCAAAAGGTTATGTTTCACAACTGCATATTTTTGGTTTAAAAAAACCAAAGAACTTGTTTTTAAACATTTCTTCAAGATGGTCAGTAGCCCTTTAATGAGACAAATGAGGATTCTGTCACAATTTAGAGAACTTATAGTGGACACAATAAATTAGTTTCATTTCTTTGTCAGCTGTTCCTTTCTGTTCAAATCCGGCCTCAGAATAATAATGTAACATTTGGGGGAAAAGATGCAACCCAGTAATCCAGCTGCAGAAGCCAAAATGGAAAAGATCTCCACAGCTACCATGTATTTTCCCTTGGTGCTCAGATAGGTGGGAACAAACGTTATCCAGACATTACAAAAGACCAACATGCTGAAGGTGATAAATTTGGCTTCATTAAAGCTGTCAGGTAATTTCCTAGCTAGGAAGGCAACTGAAAAGCTGACAGCAGTCAAGAATCCCAAAAAACCAAGAACAGTATAAAACAAAGTGGTTGAACCTTCTTTACATTCTAGGACAATTTCTTCAGCCATGGAATGCATGTCAGAATCTGGGAATGGGGGGGAAATTGCCAACCACACTGCACAAATGGAGAATTGTGTTAAAGAGCATGAAAGAACTATAGCGTTGGCCAGCCTTTTCCCCACCCATTTCCTCATTTTGGATCCGGGCTTGGTGGCCATGAAAGCAAGGACCACTATGATTGTTTTCCCCAATATACAAGAAAGAGCTACCGAGAAGATGATGCCAAAAAAAGTTTGTCGCATGAGACATTTCACCTGATCTGGTTGCCCAATGAAGAGCAAAGTGCAGAGGAAGGAGAGGAGGAGAGCAATGAGAAGAATGTAGGTGAGGTTCCGGTTGTTGGCTTTGACAATGGGGGTGTCCTGATGCTTAATGAAGATTCCCAGGACCATAACTGAGATGAAAGAAAAGAAGGAAGCAATAGCTGTCAGGCTAATTCCCAGAGGCTCTTCATGAGACAAAAATGTGATGTGTTTTGGAATGCAAAGGTTGTGAGCTTTGTTTGGGTACTGATCTTCTGAACATGGGAAACAGTCATCTGCATCTGAAAAAGATATTATTGCAGTCAAGTGTTTAATGTTATAGACAACAGCCCATTACCAAATTGGTCATCACTTCAGAGATATTTCTTTTCCTGACTGACCATTTGAAATCTTCCTTCTTTGCTTCTTCCTTTTCTCCCTTCCTCCCTTCCTCCTTTCCTTCCTCCCTCCGCCCTGGTGAATTTGAGATGACCATGAAGCCCTGCTGAATTTGAGATTTTTCTACGCTAACCCCTTCTGCAAGATATATTCAGTTGGTCCAGCTCCAGTGATTAATGGGGCCAGTGGGGTTCCAAAGTGAGTTGGGGAGTTGTTTCATAGGATTTGCTGCATGGGCCTGCCAAATCCCTCACTGTTACTGGAATAGAGAGTTAGCAGAGGGCTTGGATAGATGATGTGTTTTGGAATGCAAAAATTGTGAGCTTTGTTTGGGTACTGATCTTCTGAACATGGGAAACAGTCACCATCATCTGGAAAACAAATCATGTGTTTAATGTTATAGACAACAATCCATTACCGAATTGGTCATCATTTCAGAGACATTTCCTTTCCTGACAGTGAGCATTTGAAAATTAACTTCCTTCCTTCCTTCCTTCCTTCCTTCCTTCCTTCCTTCCTTCCTTCTTTTCTTCCTTCTGCCTGCCTACCTGTCTCCCTCCCTCCCTCCCTCCCTCCCTCCCTGCTATATGAGGCCCTGGAAACCTTGATATTTTTATATGCTAACCCCTTTTGCAAGACGTATTCAATTGGTCCAGCTCCAGTGATTAATGGGCCCAGTGAGGTTCCAAAGTGAGTTGGGGAGTTGTTTCATAGGATCTGCTGCATAGGACTGCCAAAGCCCTCACTGTTACTGGAATAGAGAGTTAGCAGAGGGCTTGGATAGAATTGAACAGGGTCAGACCCATGCAACTTTTTTCATCCCATTGAACCAGGCATTCTCGGTGCTTTATGGAGGATTTGAGAGAGTTGAAAAGAGTCAAGAGACATCTAGAGAGTTGCCGGAGTAAAACGAGGGATGAATCTGAACAATGACAAGCTAGAGTCACTATTAAGTGTGTGTCACTTCTCAAAAAGTTATTACTGGACACAAACAGTTCATAACTTTTGTTCAGTCTCCCACCTGCCCTTTTTAGGGAAGGTGGTTGAGAAGATGATTGTGCTGCAGCTCCAGGAGATCCTTGATTAAATGAATTATCTGGACTGCTTTCAGTCAAGTTTCAGGCCTGGATATGGGAAGGAAATGGTATTGGTCATTCTTTTGGATGATGTCTGAAGAGAATGGGATAGGGATAGAACATCCATCCTGGCTCTTCTTGACCATGGTATCCTTTTGAGATGGTTTTGGGAACTGTGAGAGGAAAGAACAGTTCTGGTCTGGTTCACCTCCTTCTTCTTTGATCAGTTCCAAAGGGAGAAAGAACTCCAGTCTGCAAGACCAACTATTGGGTGCTATATTTTCTCTGTACCTTTTTATTATCTACAAAAGTCAGCCTATTTCCCCCAACAATCCGAGTCCTCATTTTATCGACCACAGAAGGATGGAAGGCAGAGTCAACCTTGAGCCAGTGAGAATTGAACTGCCGAACTGCCAGCAGTTGGCAGTCGGCAGAATAGCCTGCAATACTGCATTCTAACCACTGCTCCATCATGGCTCTTATGTACTAGTTATAGCCTTTTCAGCTCTACTCTCTATCACTCATATCTTGGTCATCTCCCATATGGATTATTGCAATGCAATCTATATGGAATTACTCTTGAAGAGGCTGTAGCTGATGTAGAATGCAGCATCACAAACAATATTGGGCACCCTTAGGTTTCCACATATAACACCTCTGCTGTACAAACTTCATTTTTTTTCTCAGTTGCTTCTGGGAGTTCAATTCAAGGCATTTGCTATTACCTTGAAAGCCCTTTCTCAGGTTATTTGAAGAACTGTCATCCCCACTATATGATCCTATCCCACCTAATCGGGCACAGAGGGAATATTGCAGATTCTGTCATTTAAGGAATTTTGGCTGGCAGGTTGCAGGAAGACAGCATTTTCTGCTGCTTCTTCTACTCTGTGGAACACCTTACTCTCAGATGTGAGGCCGATCCTTGGTCTTCATCATCATGTGAGTTGGAGCCCTGGTAAAGCAGCAGATTAAAGCAGACTAAAGCGCTGTTATTAACATCAGCTGCCTGCAATTACTGCAAGTTCAAATCTCACCAGGCTCAAGGTTGACTCAGCCTTCCATCCTTTCTAAGGTAGGTAAAATGAGGACCCAGATTGTGGGGGCAATAAGCTGACTTTGTATAAAATATACAAAAGTATGAAGGCTATTGCTTAACGCATTGTAAGCCGCCCTGAGTCTCTGGAGAAGGGCGGCATATAAATCAAATAAATAAATAAAAAAAGACTGATATGCAACCCTGGGTGTCATGAGGACATTCTTTTCACCTTAACATTTTAACTTTTAATGCTGCAACCCTTCTTTTAAATTTTGTTTTTAACTTATTCTTACTTATATCTCTATACTACGATTTGCTTTTATACATATAGTCTAGTGAAAAGAAGAATCAGGGGTGTCATGATAAAAGTGTTCCAATATTTGAGGGGATGCCACAAGGAAGAGGTGGTCAATCTATTCTCCAAAGCACCTGAAGGCAGGACAAGAAACTATGGATGGAAACTAATCAAGGAGAGAAGCAGCCTAGAACTAAGGAGAAATTTTCTGACAGGGATAACAATTAATCCAGTAGGTGCTTCAACATTGGAGGTTTTTAAGAAGATATTAGATAACCACTTGTCTGAAAATGTATAGGCTTTCCTGCTTGAGCAGGGAGTTGGACTAGAAGACCTCCAAGGTCCCTTCAAACTCTGTTATTCTGTTACACTAAGATATTTATTTATGTATTTACTTACTTACTTAACTATTTATTTATTAAATTTATATTGCCACCTATTAGAAGACGGTGACTCAAGGCAGCTTACAAGAATATAAAAACCTTCTATAAAAACAATAAAACTAATAAAAGAGACAATCAAATAATATATTAAAAATAATATAATAAAATAATCCCCACACCCCCACCCCGGTGACAATATATCAAACAAACCATTTAATGGGCTCCATCCCACTCTGGGTTCCCCAGACCCCCTGGCAGTACCAGGTCTTCAGTGCCTTCCAGAAGAGTCTTAGAGTGGGGGCCATTCTAATCTCTGGGGGAATGATGTTCCAGAGAGAGGGAGCCACCATGGAGAAGGCCCTTCTTCTGGATTCCACCAGGTGTATCTCCCTAGGGGATGGGACCCACAACATTCCTTGCCTCCCTGCTCTGGTGGGTCAGGTAGGTATAACCAGCAAGAGATGGTCCCTCAGATAACCTGGTCCCAATCCATTACGGACTTTAACGATGACAACCAGCACCTTGAATTTCACCCAGAAGCAAATTGGCAAGAGATGTGATACATGTGCACAGTGAAGTCTGCACAAAACCATGCAGGCCGCTGTGTTTTACACCAGCTGGAATGTGTGGATGGTCTTCAAGGGCAGCCCCATTTAGAGCAGGTTGCCAGGTTGCAGTAGTCAAGACAGGAAGTGACTAGGGCATGAGTGACAGTGAGTAGGGATTGTTGATCCAGGAAATTGTATAACTGGTGCACAACCAGCAGTTTCGCAAAGGCCCTCCTGGCGACAACCACCACTTGCTCTTCAAGCAGGAGTCGCAAGTCCAAGAGAACCCCCACATTGTGCACAGGGTCTGTTTGGGATAATGCCACCCCATCCAAGTTCAGTGGTGGCAATTCTTCTTGGGCCAAAGAACCCCAGAGACACTCAGTCTTTCAAGGGTTTAGTTTGAACCATTGCTCCCCATCCAGCCCCTAACAACCTCCAGGCACTGTCAGAGGGAGGACACAGCATCACTTAACTCACTACAAGCTGAGACATACAGCTGAGTATCATCAGCATATTGATGATACCTCAGTCCATGGTGATGGATAATCTCACCCAGGAGCTTCATACAAATGTTGAACAGGAATGGAGAGATTATGTAAAACCCTGTAAACTGTCCAGATTCACTTAATTCAGATGATGGTATAGAAATGTGATGGATACATAAAAACATAACATAAATCTAAATTATTGTTTGTTTCCCAAAATACACTATCAAGAAATTATGCTTGCTTAACTAACTGACATTTCTCCTTTACCATTTATTTTAAATCTTCCTGAACTGCAATTCCCAAAATGATAATAGGTTCATTCCACCCAATCTTGAAATCCCTTTACTTTCATAGAAAAAATAGGTGAAGATATTTATTTTTATGGTCTGGTTTATCTTTCCAAGAGTAAAAAAAGATGGCATAATATTTGAATAGACTCCTAAGTAACTGACATCTGTCCTATATTATAGACACATTTGAAAAGAGATGGCAAACTATTGTTTACAATTAAAGAGTAATATAAGGCATTACACAAAATAAATAGCATTGAAATCTCTGCTTTAGATCTCTTACCTGTTTTGTTTGAAATTTTACCTTCTGGACATTTAAGGCAATCATAGCAGCAAAAGGGCTTTCCTTCTATTTTTATTTTGCTATAACCTGATGAGCATGGAGGATTGCACATAGAAAAGGGTTGTACCTATTGGACATTGTGAAGGAAAATTGAGAAATTATTACTTAACCTTTCAGGAATTCTTGCATCTGAAAATTGGGTTTGACTAGTATTTAAGGCATATACAGTGGTAACTTGGAACTCAGCTGCTTTAAATTCATTCTTTGGTTGATACTCAATGAAGAAGCTAGAATTTGTTGATATCAGCTACCTTGTGATTCACAACTTTATTCCTTATGAGAACAATTTGTTTAATACTCATCATTTTTGATACTCATTGTGCCTCTCAGAACTTATTAAACCTATTAATTTTTTTAGGGTAATCAAGTTCACGAGTCACTTTGAGAAAAGAGTCATTTTATGCCTGTAATTCCTGAAAGTACTTTCTGAGCATTGAAGCAGTAGGTAAAAATAAAATAAATTATTCACCATGGTTTAATATTGGTGCCAAAACTACCTGATTAAACATGGTGGGCCAGACAATCTCCTCTGCAAAAATAGTAAGAAGATTTTCAGGGGCAGTCACTGGAGCTATGTTTCCAATTTTGATTCGATGAAATGATTGGTTGGGGAAGGTGACCCAGTTGATAACATCAAATCCAGTTGCTAGTTCTCCTCTTTTGTCAAAGGAAACCATTTCTCCAGCACTGTTGTTAAATGAAACAGCTTTCAGATACCAATGAAACTAAATGGAAACCATTAAAAGAAATTTATAACAATTGGAAGAATGAGCAAGTATGAATGAAGGCTCTTTCATAAATTAGGTGTTAATCTTTTAAGAAAGACCAATCAGCAGATATAACATGAGAAATATTTATTGTTATGGGGTATGATAACAGAAACTTGAATACCTGCAGGAATTTGCTTCTCTCTCACAATCTCTCTTCTTTCCCGGGACTAAATTGGCATTTACTTTTTCTTAACAGTCCTTCTAATGACTTTTGCATCTTTCTGAAAAATCATTTACATATTTAGAATTCTTTTATTATTCCCATGCATGTGGGAAGCAATATTATAATCTATGTCAGTTGGACTAATAATGTTGATTCTTAATGGCACCCTGGTTACTTGCTGTTTCTCACATGCTCTGGTGTACTAAAATATTGTGAGCATTTGATCTATGAAGAGCCAACAAAAAAATTGTAGTTTGTCTATTGATTGCTCTTCAATGCCATCCTTTCTTTTTTTCTTATTTATCTCATACTCTTCTCTTCACCGTGGAATCAAAATGCAGTACCCCAAACAAATAATCTAGACTCACTGCAGCTCAATGCCCTCCCTCCCTCCCTCCCTCCCTCCCTTCCTTCCTTCCTTCCTTCCTTCCTTCCTTCCTTCCTGTCACAATCTTCTCCTCACTGTGGAATCAAAACTCAGAACCCAAGCAAATAATGAAAGATAATTACAGTATTCATTGTTAATTTAGGACACTGAAAAAAATTCCATCCAGAAACTAGTAGAGGGAACTACTGCAAAGAGCTTATTTTCAAAAAGGAGGGCAAAAATGATTCATAAGTAATTACATAACAGATCTTGTTAGATCGTGGGTTCAAGAAAGGACAGGACACGTAGTGAACTCCAACACTTTTATTAGGTCCGTAAATTGCAATCCCAGCCGCGGCAGCTCCTTTTATAGCTAGGAGCTGTCCACGGCTTCAGCCACTGACGGTCCTATGAATTTCCCACTCTTGTCCCTGATTGGTCAGTTCAAATCTGCCATTCAATACTCAACACCCCTCCCCTCTAGTTAGCATAACCAATCCTGGAGTCCCTAGGCGACGTAGTCACGCAGGTAGGCGGGTCGTCTCGACTCACGACTTGATCTGCGCAGTTCAGTCGTTTCAGCATTCCTGGAGTGAGAGGTCAAGTTCCGTGGCTCTGCTGGCCCCACCTTTGGAACTCTCTCGAACTCGCCTGCCGGTGTGGAATTATTTTCCTGGGTGTTACTCCCCTCCTCCCCCGGACGACATGTTGGGTTATTGCTGACGGTCTGCTCCTTCTTCTGGACTCCAGATATGTGTCCGCTGCCTCTGGACAGGTTTGAGTTCCTTTCCATGGTGTTTGGTGCTTGTGCTTGTGGTGGGGTGGTGGTCTCTGTCTGGTGGGCCGAGTTCGCTCCTTCTTATTCTGCCTCTGAGATGATCGATGTGGCATTTCCTTTTTTTTAAATATTTATTTATTTATTTATTTATTTTTAATTACTAACATTACAAACAACATATACAATACTTCACCCTGTGCTATACATAAGAAAGGAAGATCTGGTTCTTCGGATATATCCTCATGATCGTCAAAATCCACGTTCTTGGGGTACAGGTACCGAAGCATCCAATTTTCCCAGCGCATAGTCCATGAATGGTTTCCAAATTTTCCAGAAAATATCTTCTTTATAGTCACCATTTCTAATTTTAATATCACATGTCATTTTATCGTTTAGAGCTAATTTCCACATTTCACAATACCATTCTTCTATTCTAAAATTCACATCTAATTTCCAATATCTGGCTATTATAATTCTACCCATTATAATCATAATTCTAATCAATTCTTTCTCATATTTTGTTGGTTCTATTTCCTTAATTATCAACAGTAATATAGTTTCTGGTCTCAATATTATTACTTTCCCCATCATTTCAAATATCATTTCCTCCAATTGTTGCCAAAACTTTTTAACTTTATCACATTTATACCACATATGTTCATAAGTCCCTAATTCCATATCACATCTCCAACATTGTTTACTAATTTTGTTATCCATCAATGACAATCTTAATGGAGTCAAATACCATTTCCAAACAACCTTATAATTATGCTCTTTAATCCTTACAGATAAAGTCTTCATAATTCTACTCTTCCAATTCACATTCCAATCTAAATCTGATATTTTAATACTAAGTTCTTTTTCCCAATTCATCTTCATCACCCTTTGTGGTTTTCCATCAAAATTTATAATCTTATATATCTTACTAACGAGTCCCTTTAGCCCAATTTCATCTTTCATAATTTGGAATACTAAATGTTCAAATTCAGTTTTACTTCTACTTATTGAACAATTGTCCCTTACCTTCTTAGTCCATTTTTCTATCTGTACTTTTTCAATCCAGCCTAAACCCAATTTTTCAATGATTTCTTTTTTCCTCCTTTCATTTTCTGAAGTTTTTAACCAATCTATTATAGTTTGTATATTTTCATCTTCCATTACCCTATCACAATTTATATTAGTTTTAATCGGCCAATTTTCAATTGTCTTCCCTAAGAAAATTATATCTGGAATTAAAATTTTAACAAATTTATTCCAAATTTTACTCAGTCCCTTTAACCAATAGCTATTAATTACACATTTTGATTTTGCTTTATCTAAAAACCATGTTGAGCCAAATCTCTTGATGTCTTTTAATTCTAAATCTCTCCAATGACTATCTTCACCTTTAAATATTTTTACCACAGTCCGAATAGCATAAGCCCAATAATAATTGAGTAGTTTGGGGATTCCTAATCCACCTTCCTTTTGATTTTGATACCACATTTTCTTCACTAATCTAGGTCTTTTCCCACTATTGCAAAATTTATCCAATTTCTTCTGATATCCTTCAATATCTTTCTCTGTCAAGTTTAACGGTAACATCTCAAATAAAAAATTAAACTTTGGCAACAACATCATCTTACACATTGCAATTCTACCAAACCAAGACAACTTTATCATTTTATATTTATCTATCTTTTTCTCAATTTCATTCATCACCACATCATAATTTAGTTTTTTCATTTCTTTAACTTTGAGTGAAAGTGTTATGCCCAAATATTTCAATGTTTTTTTAATCCTTATCCCAAGTTGTTCTTGCATATTCTCCCACTCCTTACCATTATTATTCATTAATAGTTCAGATTTTGACCAATTTATTTTCAAACCTGTCATTTCCTCAAATTCTTCCAAATGCTTATGTATCTTTTTCAAATCTTTCTCTATACCTTTCAAAATAATCAAAGTATCATCCGCATACAGATTTATCTTATATCCCTTATACCCTTCCAATTCTTCATCTTTTTCTATCATTTTAGTCAAAATTTCCATAACTAATAAAAATAATGTGGAGACAGGGGACATCCTTGTCTCGTACCTGCTTCCAATCTTATCTCTTCTGTCAGCCTTCCGTTCACCTTCACTCTTGCACTACTTTTTTGATACAGTTTTGAAATAACATGTATAAACTTATTACCAAAATCTAGTACCTCAACAATTGTTTTAATAGTTTCCCATTGTACAGAGTCAAAAGCTTTAAAAATATCTAATGATACTATACCTATTTTATCAGCATTATATTCAGCAACATCTATAATATTTAATACTCTTCTGACAATATCATTCATGTATCTACCCTTCACAAAGCCTACTTGGTTATAACTTATATATCTATCTATAAATCTACTTAATCTATTACTTATAATGGCGGTAAATATCTTTGCATCTTGATTAATTAAGGAGATAGGCCGATAGGCTCAATCCTTTCTAAGTCTTTATCTGGTTTAGGGATTATAGATATCACCTTTCTATTCCATGACAACGGAACTTCTCCACCATATAAAATTCCGTTAAATAGTTTTTGCAATTTTGGTATTATTATTTCCTTAAATTCTTTATAAAACTCAGCAGGTAATCCATCTTCACCTGGAGCTTTCCCTAATTTTATTTTTTGTATTACTCCATTAATCTCATCTTGTGTTATATCTTCTTCCATCAAGTCTTTATATGTTTGGTCAATTTTCACAACATGTTTTTCTAAATAACTTCTCAGTTTTTCCCGATCAATTAATTTTTTCGAATATAAATTTTGAAAAAAATTCCTGAACACTTCGCATTTTTCTAATTTTTTATAGCATCTTATACCCTTATCATCTATCAAGGCTCCAATTTCTCTCTTCTCTCTTTTATTTTTCGCCATCCTTGCCAATAACTTAGAGTTTTTATTGCTAAATTCAAAAAAATTCCTATTTAAATATCTCATATTCTTTTTTACCAATTCTATATCTTC